GAGCAATGTAAGAACAGCAGCAAAGCAACCACGAAGGAAGTAAAAGCACCAGGTGGTAAGTGGTCTTGGAGCTACAGGCTGGCTCACAGTCACACCTCCACATGCCAGGGCAGAACCAACAGACCACTGTCTGTTCTAGACTACTCCCATTGATGGTATGAAATTGAATATTTCCTGGATCAAAGAATGAAATACCCATGGCAATTTCCCTCACCTCAGATGAATGCCTTGATCACAGGACATGTCACTCTTCCTGTGGCCTAATTAACACCACTGCATGTGAAATAAATGTTTCTTACCACTACAGAACAGTTTATGAGATGTTGTCTGCTTTCCTCTCCTGGGAAGATAGAGCTGTGAGCTTAACTTACTTCAAACTGAAAGTGGGACATAGAAACAAGCTCGCACCTCATGGTTAATTGATGCACCTCATGCATCACTGAAAATAATGAGAGGATGGAAGAGAGAAACATCACTGCAAATTCTTCTTCCTTTAGTTTAAATAAATAGTTTGCATTTCTTATTTATTTCTTAGCCAAACAAGGCTTTCAAATCCAGTGGGAACACTCCTGTCTGCAAGTGCCAAAAGCAGTCAGGTGCAAGGGAGATGCCACTCTCCAGAACAGTCCTGGTGGTAACGGTTCTGAATGGATGCACAAATGAAGCTCCACGTTTCTCATTTTCTCTACAGAAAAAAAATACAGACAGCAGAGTGCTATCACACATGAGTTTTAAGAACACCATCACCAGCTTTAAGGCATCTAATTGTAAAATAGGCCATTCAAATAATTTATGAATTCAAACTGCAATTCAAGAAGGAGAAAGACTTTCCCTCCAAAATTCCATAAATTATATATATATTTATCTTTGAAAGCTTCTAATAACAACTTGAATGCGTGTGTACCAGAGTCCTATAGGACAGTACAGGATTGCTGTTACCTAAAAAAATAAATAAATCAGTGCAGGACTACACATCCCCAAACACCAAACCACCTCCACAGCATTATTAAAGCGTGCAAACTCCAACACCCAGCTATGACTCAGTCTTTCAAAGCTCACCACAGATAAATAGGGGACCAAAAGCCAGATCCCAGTATCAGAATATATTCCATCATATAGTCCATATATGACAACTCTCATGATACAATGATGCTGTTCAACAGATGTCAGGGCTGTAAACTTAGGGGTTACATTTATAAACTCAAGACTGACAAAACCAGAGTGGCATTTGTGGGAGGCATAAATAACACCACGTGTTACATTGCTAGCAGATCCTTCAAAATGAATTGCTCACATTTTACAAGATTACAAAATTCTTACACAGACTTATGCAAAATAGACTCAGGCTTTAGCTCTGTTTTTTGCTCTGCCATTCACCCAACCTAAGCTCTTGAAAGTCATTGCCACTCCAAACAGCCCTTCAGAAATAATATAATGACCAGGAAAAAGAAGTCTAAGATTCACAGAAAGTTTGCACAGAGCACTGGTTATGCCCTCTACTGACAGGTTTGTCAATTAGACTAGAATATTTCAGCTGTTGGCTTGCAAAAATAAGTATTGTTGAATCAACGTAAGTCTGGAAATGTGAAGATATTGCTCATGAGATTATTTCTAAACATTTTAAATCCATAATAATACAAATCATACCCATCATACAATTTCTCCTATTTCTGATATTTTTGCCATACAAGAAATGACTGCTACCAAATCATCAATCTTTATCAGATGGTATGCAAGGACAGAAAAATAAGACACGTTTTTCATTTTAATTGCAAGTATGGATTGGAATCCTGTGAAAACAGAAGAATGGTAAAATCAGTGCTTCACATGAATTAAGATCTATACATCTCACATCATTCACAGTGCTCTCATCATCACTCATACGTGAATGCCTAGCAGCTCCTATTACAGTTTCAATTTAAACAGCAAAATTCAAATTTATGACCGTATTTTTTGCAACTCTCAAGCTGTCCCATATATTAAATATTTTAATTCATGCCTCTCAAACTGTTTCCTCTGATTTAATGCTACTGTTTTGCATTCATAGATAATGTAAGTAGAAAGCGCTGCTAAAAGAATGATTGATAATACTGAAACAGATCCAAATACATACTGAATTCATTACACGGGAAACACTGTGAGGTTTTGGCTCCCTCAAATTTGTATGTATTATTACTGCACATATTCCTCTGTCCATTGATACTACAGCTCACAATGACATACTAAGTCTGTTTCCAGGGATTTAACAGAAGACTTAATGATGTCCGGATTGCATACAAGTTCTGGATTTAAAACATTATTTTTCCGTTCTGTATAAAATGTGAACCAAACCATCAAGTTCATGTTCTCCGATGTGCATCATGCATCTGGTACTAAACAATGCCACTGATTCCACAAAACTATTTTACATTTTCCCTAAAAATTCCAAATGAGATGGTATTTGGAAATATATACATATATAAATCAATTAAAGAAGTCTTACTTCAAATGCCTGTACACCTATACAACATGGTTTCTGATAGAGTATTAGAACTGTTATTCATCTAGATTATGTCTATTTTTATATACATTTTTAAGCACTAATTCTGTGTAATACAACCTGTAGAAATCAGCAACATACTGTGCATGCAAACCTTTGACATCTTCATGAAACCACCAAGCTGCTGAGGACAACATTTTTTAACCTACAACATATTTTAACCTAACAAAACTGTGTTAAAAACAATGTTATGAAGACAAACGAAGCATATTAACAACAAATTATCTTCCTAGTACTGTAAAATACACTAACAGACTCACTGTTATGGCAAAATGGCATCTGCTGACAGTAACTATGAAGTAATATCCAAGAACTTCACCATTTTCCTTTGTGAATTAATCAAGTATTTTTCATTCTAATTACTGGCATACATTGTCTTCTTAATGACTTGTGGTTTTGCTTATTCTTTGTTTTTAATAAAGAAGTTCACAGGCATATGTGACTGCATAAACAGTACATGGGGACAGTGAAAAGTACAGAGCAGAATACAGTAAAATTTTGGACAGTCATTAAGAAACCATGCAGATAATCCAGAGAGCCTCTATTATGCTTGCTATAGTTTACATCTAAGTGAAACTTTAACATTCAGGTACACTACACTACAGTGTTCAACATGCAGCTGAGGAATTTCATTCTTAGCTGTTACCTTATGCTCTTCATAAATTTAAGTCAAACCTTTATGCTAATCCCATGCTTAGTTTCATTAAGACATTTTTAAGATCTACTCTAGGAGAGTGAAATTGAGGAGCTGTAGCACTTTATAATATGTTTTTATTTTGGGCCTGGTGAGGGGGCGGTGGCTTACAAAAAAGCAGGATCCAACATAAGAAACTGCCAAGTTCATTCCCTAAAAAAAGCCAAAACAGTACGCTGTTCATATATACATTACAAAGATATAAAAGACAGCATATTGAGAAAAGGTAAATATTATCTTAGTTCTTCTCTGTGCAGTGTGAGTTGGGGTATTTCCATATACCAGTGCTGGATGTGCACGGTTCTATGCCCACAAGGCAACCTCTTGTCACAAGTGTGTTTCATTCCAGCTCTCCCCACCTAAGCAGAGCTCACAGTCAAAGTCATTTTCAGTTTTTTTCCTGACCTTGCAGATGGCGAGGAGAAGAAAAGCAAAGCAAAAACACACCCCTGTCCCCATTTATCCTTTCCACACATGCACTGCCTTTAGGAGCTGGTAAACAACAACCAAGCACAAACATGGTCTGTATGGAAATGGAGAGCTACTAGAAACAGGCTGGGAAGCAGGCTGAGCTGCCCTCAGCAACAGCACTGGAAGGATGTGAAGTTCTTTCTGTATTTCTCGTGAATTATGGAACGTTTAGTTTCATCCAGTGGCATCATATATAACCAGGGCCTTACCATAACACAACCCAGAGAAATAAAATTAAAGCTAAACTATCTTGAAATTAAATTAGGGATGAAGAAATGCAAGCGCCGTATCTGCTCAGTGTAACACAGCACAGACAGCGATTCGTATGATGAGACGAACATTACAGAACGTGATTTTCCCCCGTTCTCACGTCTAGCTTTCGAAAGGACCATCTACTAAGCCGTGCTCCCGGCACGGCCAGCAGCTGTCGCAGAAAGTTTTCAGCAGAGCCCAAGTTGGGCGTGCGAGCCCCCTGCCCCCATCTGCAGCGCGGGCAGCGGAGCTCCGCGCCCTTTTGTTCCGTCCGCCTTCCGAGCCCCTGTCACAGCCCGGCACCCGGTTCGCTGCCTTCTGCCCGCGGCCAGGTGCTGCAGCCCGGCCCAGCCCGCGTGCAGCGATGGAAGCGCGGACACTCTCCGGACGGAGCGCCTCACACGAGGCGAGCCCGCCCGCCCCTCGCCTCCCCGCCCGGCCCCGCTGACCGGGCTGGCAGCGAAGCGGCGCGATCCGAGGCAACAGTTGGCCGCTTTCCCCGGCATCGCCGCTGCCCCCCGGGACCGCACGGACGGCCCTCCCGGGAAGGGGAGCGGGGGGGGGAAAAGGGACGGCCGCGGGCCCAGGGCTGGGCTGAGAAGGGGGCACAAAGGCGGCAGCCTCCCCCTACAGCCCTTCGGGGAAGGCAGCACCCGAGCGGAGATCAAAATAACGCAGGGACTGCGGGGCTCCCCGCTCCCCTCCCAGCAAGGAGAGCTTCTTCCCACCCGAGGACACCGCCTCAGCCCCCACCGGCGGCCGGGGGACGAGGAGACCCGGCTTACCTGAGCCGCCCGTCGCCGGTGCCCGCCGCGGTGACCCTCGTCCATCCCCCGCGCCTCAGAGACAGCCGCGGCGCGGCCCAGCCCTGCCCGGCCCAGCGCCGCACTCGCAGGCCCGCCCCGCGGTGGCTGCGTGCGGCTCCCGCCAGCTGTCGGCCCCGGGCGGGCGCGGCTCCGCCGGACCCGCCTCCCGCTGCCGAGGGGGGCGAGGCGCGCGGGAGGAGGACGGGGCCTGCGGGCTGAAGCGCGCGGGGTACCGCACCTCTGCGCAGCCGTTCCTCGCAGCGCTCCACGCGCAGGGCCCGGCGTCCCGCCTTGCCTCAGGCGCTCACCTCCGTGTCACCTATGTTGTCGCTGAGGCGGCTTTGACCCATATCTACCTAGCTTCTCTCGGTTCCCAGGCCGTCCGTCTCCTTCCCCTTTGTGGGCTCTCTTTCGGTGTGTGAATGCTTGAGTTCAGCAAATACTCTTTTTTTTTTTTTTTTTTTTTTGGCTTCGCACAAGTCAGTACTTCCTCAAGATGTCAAAAGCAGATCTGAGCCCGTTCGCAGCTCGTGAAAATGTTTTGTACTTCCTCTTGCTGCTGGGAGGGTTAAGTAAGGTTAAAGCTGTGAGAGTGGCTCGGTGCTTGGTTTCCCCCTTCCCCAAAAGCCAGTCTGAGTCATTTACAGGAAGAAAGAAACCAAAAAGAGCCTGCAAGTAACAGCGTTGGGAGTACAGCGCAGAAATAGCAGGTCATTTGTTCACACCAAGGCTTGTGCTGCTGAGCTCTGTAAACGTGAGAAGCCAAACGCTGACCACAGTGCCTGTGTCACACTGCCATGGTGCCCGGCGCTCACAGCTGTGCTCTGTCTGTGGAAATGCATCAAAGCTGGGGCCTGTGCCACCCAGCAGGTGTGACTCAGGTTGTGGGGAGGCTGTCAGTGTGTAGGATGCTCTGCTGGCACAGTTCTGCTGCCTTTTGCACCAGAGCAGTGTCCTGGGCAGCAACACTTCCATACCCAACACAGTATGCATCTGGGTATTTTTGAAGTGCACTTTTTTGGTCTGAAAATTCCCAGTTTTCTGGTCAGGAATTAGTCCATTGAAAGGCTCTGCTATAATGGCATGTATTTAATACAACTATCCCTACAGCATCCAGCTCAGTGGAGCGCTAAACTGCTGGTTTGCATTTTTTTATCTACTCAAAAGTAGCTTGTAAAAGCAGTAAAAAGCATTGCTCCACTTTCAAGCAGGAAGAACGGTTACATGGACAGCTTGAGCCTGGAGACAATGGAACCTGGGCTATGGAACGGAGCTAGCAGCTCCGTGTCCCCCTTTCCTTGCTTATTTTTCTGGGGCACATGTTCTGACTGCTATATAATGGGCATGTCTTTAACTGAATGCCGTTATAAAAAAAAAGCTGTCCCTCATCACTGGTGAATACTCCAATTCTGTTTGTATGTGTTATATATACTCAGAGTGTATGTACTGAATGCCGATGGGATTTTATCAGAAGAATATTTTGGTTCTGGATTCTTGTAGTATTTAGGAATTAGATTTTTTCAACTTTTAATCCTGTCAAAACATATGTTATGTATTGATGAAATGAATTGTGGAACTCTACACAGCTTTCACGTCACGCACTGCCATAAGAGTGAAGTTGAACAGCCTTCAGGGGGAATGGCAGCTGAGTGATAGATTTCAGATTCTCGGTTTCGGACAGTGACGTTACAGGCTAGGAATTAATTGTTTAATCAGCTCTTTGCGCATTAGCCATGCGACAGTAACTGTCTGTGTGGAACTGCTATCCCAATGCAGACGTGAGACAAATTCAGCTTGGGACGCATTTGGTAGAATTTGAAATCCTAAATAAAGTCATCTCTTATCATTTGGACTCTACAAAACATGTCAAATAACACCCAGCTTTTGCTCAGAAGTAGTGCAATGGAAATTTAGATACCTAGTTGAAGACACCTGCATACAGACAACTACAATTTGGGAGTTTAAATTTCACAATGAATCCCATCCAAATCAGTTTGCTAACTCAAATCTCAGAGGAATTTAACATATTTTCTTGCAGCTATGGCAATGCATACGGAACCGGAAGGCAAGGCTCAGCTGGGGCATGGTAGAAGAGCAGCAATCTCACAAGTTTTCTAGATTCTGGCATTGCAACATCTCCTGTAATTTGAAAGACCACATGTTTTGTTTTTGTTTTTAAAGAGGAAGGATATGTTCAAAAAGTCATCCACAACACTGGCAAATATCTGAATGATTATCTATCTGGGACAACATTTTCTAGTCTTTTGTAGAGGATATGGTTCCTTACAAGTCCTGAAAATCATGACTTTATGCTGAATAGCAAGCATCTGGATGCAACCAATGACCTCAGAACAGATGGAAAAGAGAGTTTTTTGGAGTTTTTTGCTTGTAATGTTCAAATTGCCATGCAGAAGTAATAGACTTATCTAGCAGTTTTCTCAAGTATTACCTGTAGAAGTCGATCTGTGGAATAAAAGGACATCTTTCTTAATGATTGTTTTAGCTCTGTGTTGACTGCCATAGAAGGTTAGTACAAACAGTGTTCTCAGAAAAGAAAGGTTTAGCACTCACTTCAGAGATTACCAAATTCGAAGGAAAATCTTTTCAATTTTGGAGCCACTTAATCATCTCCTCTGTCTGGAAGTACTTTGTTTTTCTTTTTGGCTAACACACAAAAAAGAAGAAAAAAAAAGAGGTAATGCTAATAGATTCTATGAATCAGTATTCAGTATTATCCTGTCATCACTTGCATAATTCATAGTACTGCTGATGCTGTTTGGAATTGTAGCTATTCATCACTTATGAAGACAAACCTCAGTACTAATCTGCAATTTAGGGACATAATTTTTTTCTCAGTGATACCAGACAAAATTAGGAAGTAAAATCAGTTTGAGACATAACCAAAAAAGAGAGAGAGAGAGAGAGAGAGAGAAGAAAAAAATGAGTTTATCTGTCTTTTTTATGAGTTTGAATCATATCTGAAATTGCTTCCTACCAGAGAAATATGCTGCTGTATGTTTGTCATTTTTTTTTCTTCTCCTCCTAAAGAATCAACCATCAGTAAGAGGGCAGAGAAAAGTTCTGCATCCCAGTTGTTGGCCTTCTGCTCAAAATAGCTTGATTTATCAGCGTGCACTGAGACTTCATTGGAAATCCCCAGTTTATTTCTTGCATCAGCTGATGAAAGAACTTAGCAGAAGCATGGGCAGCCAGCCTTTTTCTGGCAAAGGATCAACCACTGGATATTAGAGCAGCTACACTGATCACAAAAATACAGGCGTCCCAACTGAATACAGCTGGAAATCTGTCTTGTATTTGTTTACCTATTTGGGAGTCAGTACATCATAAATATAATCCCCATTACAATGCATGTACACACTTTGGAGAGGTATACAATAAAAATATGTTTATTTAATGTCTTGATTATATTCATTAGGCATTCAATGTAGACTCAATTTTATTATCAGTCTTACAGAAGTTAAACAAGTTTACTCAATAAACTCTATGATTAAGCTTCTTGTATAGGCTTTTAAAGATATCGGTAGGCATGTGCACAGTTCAAAAATAGTTGAGATTTATAAAATAAAATATATAATAAAAATAAATGTTACTTTTGTCATTTTTAACAAGTCAGAATAGCATACAAATATATATAATAATGTGTCTTTGCTTATGTAATTGAATAGGAATATGGTTAGACTCTGGGATACTTTTTGGGTATGGTTCTCCACTGTGAACATCCAAATATACATTACAAAGCATAATACTGTTCCTTTATACTGAAGATGCATACTGGTAACACTGTAGTACTGAAAATCACAAAAACAATTAACAGAAAACTTACCTTTTGAATTCAGAAGTTTATCAAGAAGCTTGATAATGCTTACTCATTTTGCATGCTTTTCCTACAGTGAAACTGCAGGGCAGTGGAATTATATTTTACAAAAAAATGGTTCAGATTTGATGTAATAATAATCCTAATGCAAAACGAATAGCAATAATTTCAATATCTCTCTGGGTATGTAACATTGCATTTATCACTATTAATGTTAATAAGAAAATGTCTATGTACCAAACTATTTTAAGCTGGTCGGCACAAACCCATTTTCATTTGCATCTACTGAGATGTATCCAGGCAACCGTATATTTTTGGATTCGTAACAATTTATTCTATTCATTTTATGCAAATGAGATAACCAATACTGCAAGAATCATGAGAATTCAAGATGGATAACTTGGATAACATTGTTCAGAGCTATAGATAGATGACTAAGGATGATTTGTAAGTCATATATTTTTTTCAACAATTTATTAAACATTTCCTTCAATACATCAACGCAGCTAAAAGGTTTATCTTGCATGATTCTAATACTTTTTATTCCAAAATGGAAAGCATTAGCAACTCAATCTGTGTCCTGTGAAGTAACGATTATCCCACACCATGCTTCTGCTTCCAATTTGTTCTTTGCTTCCAATTTGTTCTTTTGTAAGTTGAAAATGCTGCATGTTTTTCAAACTCAGAGCTTAATCAGCTGGAGGAGGAGGAAGAGCAAAGACTCCAGCCACTGATCGCATCTGTACATGCTGACTTGCTAACTTGATAAGTAAAACAGTGTCTACATCAAACACAAAGCTGAAGTACTATATATGGAGTTACTATCTAATTGCGTGATTGAAATGTCATTGAAAGGACTCTTATAAGAAAAGTGTCTTCTGGTTTTGCTCTTTGTGTGTGAATGATTTGTATGCATTTGCTATAGGAATAGTTTAGAGCAACTTGCACATCTTCAGTATATTTTGGTACCATCAAAACCCTTAGTGTTTCACTTGAGAAGATCTAAGGTCAGCTGGGCCAAAGCTTTAGGTATGGTGTATAACACTGTCGTAAGTACAGACCACTATCAAAAGAATTAATTCCTTTTCCCTACCTTTGTTTAAGGGATTTTAGCTTGAATCAAACTCACTGAACCTGAACACTCCAAAAGCCAGGCCTATGTAGTTCTTCTGAAGAAATGGCAATTCTGTAGCAGCACAGCTGGTAGACTCAATTTATCCTACCAGATGTTCCTCGGTGCACATGATAAATTTTGCTGTTCCACTTTGAGACAATGAGCTTCCACTACTGACCAGTAAGATTTAGTTATATCCAGAATAAATCAAACTAGGCAGCTGAAATGGTCCCCAATCAGTTTTCTTGTTCTTGCTTCAATGTCAAATGTACCTCTAGCAAGAGCAATGGAACTATTTCTGAAGCAACTCCTGAGCCACTGAAGTTTTCAGCTGGCCTAGGATTACTTTTTCAGTTTACTATAATACATAGAACTGACAAAATACAGTATGAAGAACATGCTTCCTGAGCTAATCAGTAAAGCCTTCCTTGTGTAGAAAATTTCAGCATTATGTTTTTGCCTTATTGCTACATGGCAAACTTAAGTTTGACTGAAATCTTTAAGAGAGTTAAAAGATCAGGACTGCAATTTGATGATATATGTAGTGATGAGCTGTTGTTCCAGGAAATTGCACAAGTATGTCAAAGTAACAGTTGGCTTGCTAGATTAGACTCTTAGCTTTTATAATAGGAAAAGCCAGGATTTTAATTGCACTTAAAATTTCGGTATGGGTCCAAATACATAAATGCCTGAAGGGATGCGATGAATAGGGAGTCATGCTACTTTCAGTGGTGCCCACTGCCAGGTTAAGAAGCATTGGGCACAAGCTAAAGCATAGGAAGTTCTGTCTAAACACCAGGAAGCATTTCTGTGCTGTGGAAGTGATGGAGCACTGGCACAGGCTGCTCCAAGACTGTGGAGTCTCCTTGTTCCTCTGTTGTGTTGGTAAGGCACATTACCACTCCTAGCTGCTTGTCAGCTTCTTGCCTGTGATTGTTATTCCCTAGGAATGCTGGGATGACCTGCTAATATAGTCAAAATGTAATAGGTTAGATTAAACTGTTT